GGGCAGGCTGCTCCCCAGAAGGGACAGAGCAGGCTGCTCCCCAGGAGGGACAGAGCAGCACCCCCCCAGGGCAGGCTGCTCCCCAGAAAGGACAGAGCAGCACCCCCCCAGGAGGGACAGGGCAGCCTCCCCCAGGAGGGACAGAGCAGGCCCCTCTGGCGTGGCAGCGGGTTTCAGTTGTAGCACTTCCCTCTTTTTGGCTCAGCGTGAAACCAGACTGCATCTAAGCCCAATGGTGGGCACGTGGGTGCTGTCTCACGAGGAGATGCCCCCCTCATGGCCGGCGGCCCAGCCCCACGGGTGGCAGGGCCCAGCAGTGCTCACTCCAGTTGAACCAGCGGACAGCAGCCACCTTAGCTGGGTCCCTCAGGCTCATGCTCCCACCTGCAGGAGCCCCAGGCCCTTCTCTACTGTCACCTCAAACACAGTCTCCTCTTTAAAATGAGGGAGAGCAGTTACGTTTAAGATGGTCGCCATGGCCCCATCCTAATGTCTGTGAAGGGATGGTGGGTCTGGGGGCCCCTGAGTCCTGGGCAGAGCTCACCTCACGTGGGGAGAGGGAACCCCTGTGGGGCAGTCCTGGGCCTCCCTGTCACCTGTCACCAGGGTCACGGCTGGCCACTCTAAGCTCCTTGCGGCTCGCTGTGAGCCTCACACAGTAATGGCACCTGCGTGCTAACGTTCTCGCCTAGCTGAGGAACCATAGGTTGTTTGCCAAATGCCCCTCATGTTCCCCTGAGGCCTGGGACCCTGTTTGGGGGAAGACAGGAGGCCTTATCCTTGAGCGGGCAGCCCCAGGAGAGGCCCCTGCGGGCGCGTGGTAGCCACGGTCCAGGCCCACGTGGAGGGGCTGGGCCATGGCCTGTGGCCCGTTGTTAGGTAGCTGAGGTGTGTTTCCCTCTGGTTTTCCCTTGGCCATGCAGTAAGGTCACCTCGACAGTTCGCACCTTTTCTGCTGCGCTGGAGGGAACCAGGGGGTGGGAGGTGAGGCGGGCTGCAGGGAAGGTGCCCTGACAGCCTCTCCCCCACCTCCGTGCCTACATGTCTCCTCCATGCGCAAAGCTTTCAACTTCCCTTTCAAAAGTGCTGCTGGACAGGAAGACGCCAGCACAGGGGTCCCAGTGCCCTGGGCACTGGTGAAAGGGAGAGGTTCTTGGGGCCTCTCCCTTGGGCCCGAGAGCAGCAGTAGGACAAACTGGGAGCAGGAAGGAAGGAGGAGGTGAGCACAGCTGCACCCCCATTTTTGAAGGTGGAAGACAGGAATGAAGACTTCGGGCCTGGGAGTATAAACATTTCCCTCTCTTGGGGGCCCTCTCATCATTCCCATTTCCAGAGGTGACCTAATGAACGGACTCCGGGCCAGAGAGGGTTCCGGCGCGGGCCTGCCAGAGCGACCCTGGTGCGGTCACCTGGCCACCCAGCGCACCCGTGAAGCAGGGAGGTGATGCGCCCCACTTGGCCCCTGGCCAGCCGCCTGGGACACGCTGGTGGCATGGCAAAGGCCCCGACACTGAGTCAGCTCCCCGCCAGCAGAACCTGGGTTGTTAAAGAGACAAACCACCCAATGGGGAGGACACTGAGCCCAGAGGAGGGAGGAGCCACTTGAGAAACACCAGTGGGCCCTCCCCGGCCGCGCAGGGGGTGAGAGCACAGGTAACTTGTTGGTAGAAGCCAGGGGTCCTGGCTCAGACCCACCTCCAGGTAGACGACCCAGGGCATGACCAGTGTGGCGACGAGGAGGTCGGCCACGGCGAGGCTGACGATCAGGTAGTTGGTGGTGGTCTGCAGGGCCTTCTCGCGGGACACGGCCATGCACACCAGCACGTTGCCGAAGACGATGACGAAGATGAGCAGGGTGAGCAGCATGGCGTAGTAGTTGTAGTGGGGCCTGTCCGCCCTGCCCTCCGACCCGTTGAAGGGTCGGGTCCAGTTCTGGCTCTCCAGGTCGTCATCGTACGAGGACAGGTTCAGCGGATCCATCGGGGCAGCGTGGCCACTGGGTGGCCGGGCTCTGGTCAGGGAAAACAGACACGGGAGTGAGCAGCGGGACCCCCCAGAGAGGCTCCCACAGAGGGCTCCAGAACGAAAACCAGTCGCCTCCAGTCAAGGGAGAATATTGTCTGGCCTCAGGATGTTCAGTTTGGCACCTGCTGCCAGCAAGTCCCACAGACGGCGAAACAAATGAGAAAGTGTGGTTTTTTTTAAGTGTAATAAAATAAATGCCCTTGGGAAAAGCTGATCGTTCATTCGTCCCTCTATCCTTTTACCCAACGAACACCGACCTCCCCCCGTGAAGGGTGAGGTCCCAGCTCCTGACACAGGAGCAGAAACGTGTCTTCATTTGTTGAGCCTGGACGTGTTTACGAGCATCGTTCTGTCTCATGCTCAGCACACGGCCAGGAGCAAAGCGCACACGTGTCTCCAGCAACAGTTAGCCAGGCTGCGAAATCGGTGAGGGGAACTCACAGTGAAAAGGGACGGGAGAGGACGCACAGCCTGGCTCAGGCGGGCCAGGGCGTCCAGAGGGAGGCATGTCTGACAGACCCGGAGAGACAGGGAAGGATGAGCCAGGTGAAGAGTTGGGAGCTGGGGGGAGGGGGCTAGAATAGCCTAGACCTGGCTGAAGAGAGCCCGGGAGAGAGCGAGGATTCGATGGCTGAGCAGAGCGGTGGGCGTGGGTTGAACTGGGGAGGCCGCCACAGGTGACCACCTGGGTCACGCCGCTAGGAGGGTAGACGTGACCCTCAGGGATGAGGGGGGCACCATCTCCTGTGCCTTTCCGAGCGAAGACTGACCGTGTGGTAGTGGATGGACAGGGGCAGGGCAACAGCAGGCAGCCCCAGGAACCCGAGGAGATGAGGCCGGTGCTGCTGAGCGGCTCAGGACCCTGGGGCGCAGTCATCCCTTCCCAGAGACACTCCCTGAAGGAGGCGTCACCCGTGGGAGGCAGCAGGAGGCGGTTAGGCCTCCGGGTAGGGGAGATGTGCCCCGAGCAGAGAAAACAGCGAGGCCCGGAGAGCAGATAAGTGCAGAAAATGGAGGGCGTGAGGGTGAAATGGAGGCAAATTAAACGGGGCCGTTCATGGGCCAGAGGAGGTCTTGTAAACGTGGGGATCCCTGAAAGGTTGGGTTCAGAGGGAGCAGAAAGCTACCGGCAGCTGAGAGCTGGAGGGGTGAGGTGGTGTCTGCGAGTCAAGGAGGAGACGCTGGTCACCCCGCTGAAGGTGGGGAGTGAGGACCTGGATGAGGGGAAACACTAAGAGGAGCTCACCCGGAGGTCAACTTAGGGAACCCCTGTCCTGGAGAGATGAGCAGGGACCCACTGGAGCAGGGAGGGAGTGAAGAGGGCTCTGGGGGGCTGGTGGTGCTGCTCACAGAGAAGGAAGTGGAGGGTGTGAGGGGCTGGGGGCACACGCACAGCCTGGCGGTGGTGGCTACAACCTACCCAGCGGACTACTCACACTCCTACCACGGCTCCTACTTCAGTTTTAAATCTCCCCGTATTTCAGCGCGTCCCACTCGGCAGCAGGTGCTTCACTACCCGGGACGTGAAACCCGTGACGGAGAGCACCGCAGCCGCGGCGGGCTGGCCGGCTCCGGAGGAGGGTCCCCCCTGCGCCTGGTTGGTCCCCTCGCACCCCGTCTGAGGGTCAGTCTCACATCTCGCCCACTGTCAGTGTGGGCAACGCCCCAGCTGGGCCCCTCTGCTCAAGTCTCCAGGGAAAGCAACTTGCCGGATTTCAGTTAGGCTGTGGGGGGAATGTGCTGACCCAGCCAGACTTCGCGCCCCAAGCAGCAACCCAGCACAGGGTTACAGTCCTGCTGAGATGCCACACCCACTGCTCCCAGCTCGGTGGAGGGGGGGAGGGAGCGAGGGAGGGTGCACCCCACTACCAGGCCCCAGGCTGCTCCCGCTGCTCTTTACTCAGCGGCATCTCTCGGGTCTGCAGAGCCCCGTGCCTGGCACGGGGGTCCAGAGCTCCTCATGTGCCCCTCCAAAATCCCTGGTCTCTCAGCAGGCATCTGTTGGGAGCTCTCAGCCCCCTGACTCCCCACACTCCAGCCATTCTCTACCCCCAACCAGACTTCTCTTTCTGGGGTGCATTCCAGGACCTATCTATGATGAAAGCTTCAACAGTTGCAAGGATCTCATAGTTTACAAAAAATTCTTGCAAACTCTCTTTACCTTCAAAACAATCACAGGAAGCTTCCGATCATTACCTCACTTTACAGGTGAGGAAGAATCTGGAAACTTCCATTTCCTTTCCCTTCGCACCAGGCCCTTCAAAGCAAACTTCACTGAATCCTCCCGGCTGGGCCACTTAACCCTCCCTCCTGGGGCCCCAGCATCAGCGTGGGTCTCTCCCGTGTCCCGACTATGCCTCTGTCTTTCGCTGGGTATAAGCACCTCAAGGGTTACATGGTGTCAACTTCATGCCTCACCTTCTTGGGGTACACAGGAGTGCACTGTCCTTGGGGTACATAAGAGCGCATCCTGTCTTCCTCACTGGCCACTAGGGGATTTGCAGACAGGAAGCATTCAACAGATGTTGGCTGAACCGAATTTCGTACCAGTGGCAGGAAAACCGCGCTATGCTTGAAATGTAGTCTTAGCACAGGCCACAGTGCCGAGCATTGCAGCGGGGTCCCCAGGAAGCAGACCCGCAGGGACAGCGGGAAGCAGGTTGTGCCTCGGAAAATGCGGACAGGAGTCAGGCACAGGCAGGGAGCAGGGCTGGGCCTGAGCTCTGGGGAGCTCTGCAGGTGCCTGAGTTCAGACCACAGACCCAGGACTCAGTCTGCAGACTGGGGGCTACGCAAGCATGCTGAGGCCCCAAAGGTGTCTCTTCACCAGCAGGCAAATGAGGGCAGCCCCGCCCCAGGACATCAGGCCAGCACATCACAGCCTCTGCTGCCTCCGCTGAGTGGACGGTCAGAAATCGGGGGGCCATGCACCTGGGCTAGGGTGGTCACAGAAATGTCACTGAGGTGG